CAAAGCACGGAAAATAAACACTTAAAAGGAAAGAACAAAGAAACAGGCAATGATGAAATAGAGAGAAGTCGAGATCAGCATTGAAATAATTTAAGATACAGCAGGCTAAAATTTGCGCATCATTCGTATATTGCTTTTGAATTAAAGGTTTTTTAATAAAACTTGAGAAAAAAAAACATAAAAAACTGTGAAACGAGAAACCCGTAAAAATAAAAGGCAGATGACTTTCAATATGGCTTCTCACGACGTTGCACGCTGCAGGTATGTCCCAGCCAGTAGCGACCTGTTTGGTGTTAAACAGTTTCTAACATGTTAGAATGGACACTTAGGCGAATTGGTAGGAGTGGAAACGACTCGCGTACACGCACTTATAGCGATGTGCATCGCCGGGATTGCGGGTGGGAACCACGTTTTACCGACACTGCAGTGTTGTTTCAACACAAGGAACAATTGTCGCGGGAGATAATAAAAACCTACCATATAACGAGAAAAAAAAATCAACGTGAGTAATTTAACCATCCCAACGCTAACAGATAGCGAGATGATTTTTTTTTTTTTTTTATGAGTTGGCATTTGAGGCGAAGAGAGAAAAGTGTCTGAAGCCTTTACGGTAGTGCCAGCGCCTGCGCGAGCATCAGCGTCAATTTCGTGTTTTCTGGTCCAATAAGATTCCACTTTCTAGTCAGTACTTTTCCCATGCATGTCTTTCCTTTGTCCTCGTGCCACTCTCGCAATTTTTCGCAATACGTTTCTAACAAATACGCTGCTCTCCATTAACAACAACAAAAAAGCATAATGCCACGATGAAATTTTTTTTATGCCCACCGACGGATTATGAAGATGCTAACTATGGTTACAGATATCCATACTACGGTCGCTGACAATTTAAGAAAAGCAGGCATGGCGAGTATTGAGGCTCTTCTTATCCCTTCGCAGCCAATGAGAACCCCAGCCCACATAAATGCCGATGAGCGAATTAGCGAGTGAGAAGATGGGAAGCCCCGCCCTCTGATTTTTAATCTATCAATAACTTTATACTGAGAAATGAAACAACGTAAAAAAAAACAATGCCTCTTTTTGTACGTCATTTTTTTAAGCGTATTTAAACTCAAACCTCGTATTTATTGCATCTAACAATGCAATCATGGTATTTAGAACAACTATAAAGGTTAATGCTGAATAGCAAGTGATGAAATGATGGCGCATATGTCTGTATTCACCTTATTTTACGCGCAAAGAACATACTGGCTAGAAGTTAGTGGCAGTTTTATGGACTGATTTTTTAAACCCACCTCTATTGTTCTTGGAGTTGAACATAAACAACACAATACAACTTGCAAAGTTGTATAGTCAGTACTATGTATTTTTTAGACGAGCTGAGAGTGGGTGAATATGAAGAAGAATCCAGAGGAGAAGAGAAAAAAGCAGAATGACAAAAGGCACCGTCTCAACCTCTTTTTTTTTTCTCCGATAAAAATAAAGGTGGGTTTTAAAAAATCCGTTCGCAAAAACTTCATCACGCCTCCTCATGCAATGCCCTGGCCCTTAAAAGATAATAAATTAATTATTGAAAAAAATTAAGGCACAGATAACACTGGCTAATGGTTCGGGACCATTTCTATTATATGTTTTTTTTTTTCCCAAAGCTGCGTTTCGTGCACCCTTCCTTATTTATGATCGTCCGTGAACTTTTCCTCCCATTCGGATTGTGCCACTCCCTGCAAATTCTCAACGAATGACGATGCCGGAAAAGCGGTTTCACCGAAAAGCGACGAGGTGACACCGCAGCTTGACGTTCCACGTTATTTCGTCATCTTGAGTATCATATGGCGTATGTCCTATTTTTAGGTTCGTAACTGTTTATGACGGCAGCCATTATTGGCGAAGTTTTTCAGCAAAATTCCCCGAGTGTGTTTTTGTTTCTTCGTGCAGGGTCTATGCATTTGGTTAGATACAGCGTGAAGAATATTTCCGCTAAGTTTAGTGGAGAGTATTACTCGCTAAATTTAGCGGAGAAACTTCCCCGTTGCTTGGCGAGAAAAGGCTTCGCAATCGCTGGACGTACACCCGCCGGCAATATGAAGGTGAACACCTTACATGGTATCTTGCCTGTTTTACGGCTCCCTAAAGCTATATTAACTCTCAACGTCTCAAGTGTTACGTGGCTTGGGGTGTAAACTTTGCGTTCTAGCCCTCTTCTGAAACAGAGCTTGTTCCAAAACTTGCAGGAGCGCCAAAAACAAGAAGAGGACTGTTCACCTTCATATCGCTCACGGGTGTACTTTGTAGAAAGCAGTGATTGGGACGCAGGGGTTGGTAGTGACACTACAGTAATGACTTCACAGTTGTAAAATTACTTATTTTCTGGTAACTAGGCTTGCCATATATTACGGAGTTGATAATTTAGAAAAAAATATAAATAATTACCCCACGCGATGATAAGTCCAATGTAATTCATGAAATACCTAGTAAAGTTTGGAGTATTCAGAGAATTCATTGATTACTAAATACTGTGAACAATTTTCGGGGGAAGAGAAGAAAAAGTTTGAGTTTGGAGTGAGACATTAAAAGGGTGCTGATAAGTTGGAGAATCCTTATTCCAGATCACCTCGAAAAAATATGGAGAGGTAGGGAAAATTGCCTTTTACCGAACTCATGCAGATGGGAAAAGATCGGGATGGAAACAAATCACGATTGTTATTTCATTATTGAATCAGGCTCATTTGTTTAAAATCGAATCAGTTTTATTTAAAACACTGTAGCTATAAGATAGTGATTCCACGGCAGATAGATTGATCTATCCGTTGGATCACTGAAACAATACGGAATAATATCTGTAAATTTAAAGCACATTTTAATTACTAACTCTTTATTGTTTAAACTCCACGTCATTAGAAAAATACAGCGTGATTTCTTTGTACATCGTGAACGGGCTTTATTACTTTCTTTATTCGCGTTCAGATTTACTTGCAAGAGGACGACGGAACTGATGAACGATGTGGAGTGTAGAAAGAAACCTCGTTCCAATTTGCTCAGAAGGCTTCATTGTACTCGTCTTCAGCCTCATATAAATCTTCCTTCCATGATGTTTTTTTTATTTATATACAAATCATCAAAACATCGAAGCATCAAGTTATAGAGAAGCAGTAAATAATAGCAAAAAAAATTTTTTGGGTTATTTTTGCGGAAAAAAGTTTGATTTAAATCATCATAGTAGAGCCAACCGGATTTAAAACATCTTGATATTTATTTTCTACCATGGGAACGATACAATCACGCTGGAACCTCGATATGGCATCAACATCTTAGCTTCCTCGAATCATGAGCTTATGTCTTCTACTGTTCACATAGTTATAAACGAGCCATAGACCTGGCATTCTGATGTGCGAAGTCAGAGCAAGTTAATTGTTTAAATTTAGTTTTTAATTTCCAGAATAAATGTAACTGTAGTTGCATTACTTTTGGTTTGTGATAATTTGAAATGCAGTTAAATCGCTTTGCAAGGATGCTTAGAAAAGTTATATGCAATATAATTTAAATTGCTTTCCAGAAATACCCGGGAAAGGATTCGTAATGTAAAACTATTTGCTTCTCATGAATAGACAGGAAAGCAATTTATAGTGTAATATAGTTATTTTTCAAGAATGCGTATGAAATTATTTTGTAATGCACTTGTTTTCTTTAAAATACATAGGAAGATAATTTGTGATATGACTTAGTTAAAATTCATGAATGCCTACGAAAGTAAATATGTAATGCAATTTAGTTATCTTTATAGAATACTTCAGAAAGCACTTTGATGGACAATCTAGTTACTTTTCAAGAATACACAGCAAAATGATTTGCATGTAAATTTGCTTCTTAAGGTACATAGGAAAGTATGTGTAAAGTAATATAGTTTCTTTTCACTCATAAGTAAGAAAGTATGTTATGTATTTTTTTTTCAAGAATGCAAAGGACAGTAGTTTGTAATGTACTTAAGTTATTTCTCACAAATACCTAAGTAATGTGCAATGCCATTTAGTTGCTTTTAAAGATAGCATAGTATAGCAATTTGAAATGTAAATTAGGCACTTCTTAAGAAGACACACGAAAGTAATTTGTAGTAAATTTGGTTGCTTTTCGGTGAATTAGGAAAATGACCTTTAACATAAGTTAGTTCTTTTCAAGAATGCCAAAAAGTCATGTGTAAAGTGATTAGCTTTCAAGTGTTAAGTATACATTAAAAAAGTATTTCTAATGCAAAGTTGTTACTTCACAATAATAACTAGGACAGTACTTTGCAATGTAATTTAGTTCTTTTTCACGAATACGTAGAAAATTAACTTGCAATTTAGTTTCTCTTCAAAATTACCTGAGAAATAAATTTTTAATGTAAATTAATTTCTTTTAATAATACATGGCAAAGTGTTTGTGTAATTTAGTTTTTTTTTCATTAGGCGCTTAAGAACCTAATGTAACTTTAATGTAAATGAGTTACTTTCGATATCAAGGAAAGCAACCTTTAATGTAAAATGGATTACCATTCAAATATTTCTAGAAAAGTGATTTGTTTAAAAATTTAGTTCGCATCAAGAATATACAGCAAAGGAATTTATGTAATTTATTTACTTTTCAGAAGACAAAAAGCAAATAAACGCTAAAAGGCAATTACTTACATTCAGTTCCTAGAAACAATGTAATTCAATTAGTTTTAAAGAGTACGTAGCACAGTAATTCGCAATGCAATTGAATTCCAATAGAAGAACTAGCTTGGCCAGCCCATGTATCGTTCCCGCCACCACGTGCTCCGCGGGGAAAGCACAAAATATTTTCTCTAAAGAGCTGTCGGCACCCGCCAGGCTGAGAGGACTTTACGTGAGAGAGGAGGCGTGGGGAAAGGGACCACCACGTGACCGCGTCCGCCCACGTCGCCGCAGCAGGCGGGCGGCGCTGTGGAGCTCCAAGTCCGCGCCGCCGGCAGGCACAGCAGTGTGCTGCCTGCCGCTCAGACGGCGTAGCTCTCGCTCTGTGCGGCTTCGGTACGGATAACCACCCTTCTTTTTTTTTTATCGTGCGCCCGTCCGCCGCTGCTCTCTCGACGCACCTTCTTCGCCTGTGCTGACCGCTCGGGAATTCCGAACACGTATCGGCGCACCGCCGACGTCGCCACGGCCGGGGCAGAAAAATACGCGCCGAGTCGTCGGTTCGATCGTACCGTATCCGCAGGTTGGTGCTGCCTTCCCTTTACATTTCTTTTTCTTTTTTTAATATTATTATTCTTGATTGCCTCCGCGTGTACGTGTATAGGCTTCTCAGGAAATTTCATTCGATTTTTCATCTTGTTTTTGGTTTGTTTTGTCTACTGGACATGGTTTCTCCGCCAAAAAAAAGTGTTTTTCGTCAGTTCAATGGCCGATCTTTTTATTTTTGAGTTTTTTTTTTTTTTTTTTTTTTTTTCAATCTGTGGATCAAACTTGGTTGGCGCTGTTTACGGGAATCTGTGTTGTGTGTTTGCTCCTATACGTATAATATAACAAGAAAATCCGTCTTTTTTTAATATAAACATGCAAGAGCAACACTTACGACATGTAAAAACACGTCGTGAGTCTGAGAAAACGTTTGTCTGCATTCGCACCTGAGTCTGGGGTTTCTGCGTTCCCACAAGTCTCGTGGAAAAGCCAATCGCTGCAGATCTACGGAAAGAGCTGTGCAAATCACGAGACTTATAACAAGTTTAGACCCTAAAAATGTAGTCTAAGTTGTGATGTGAGTTGTGACGTGAGTTCACGTGAGCACGTGAAGCATCAAGTTTATAGTGTCAAATCGGACTAGTTTTGCTTAGGTCTACTGAGAGTTTCAGCCTACGTTATGCGCTAAGCTTCTTCCGTAGATTAAAGCGATTGGTTCTGCCCAGTCATTCGCAGGCCAGTAGACATACTTAGAGTATAGGCAGCGAAAGTTTTGGAATTAACGAAGCCTAAACCATAACGTCTCAAATAACGTCGATGCAGCGTACGACCGGGAAGATCTGTATAGACATGACATTTCATGTCGCCCGCGTTTCCTCTCCCTTCGTTCCGACACATGTAGCAACTTGCACACGCGAGGAATGTGGTCGTCAAGACAACCAGATGGCGAGCCGCAGAGAGGCATCGTTCAGTTCTGTGACACCTGTCTGTTGTGTTGCACGAAATGTGAAACGTTGTCGCCCCCTGCGTGAATGTCGGAGCTGCATGATACGTTTAGATCAGTTCAAGAGAGTTTCACAGGATGTACGTTTTCCCTGTGATTTAAGTACTGTGTGCGTATCTGCTGAGCGTTCTGTCACAGCACTGCGAATTCTCCTATGAGTCATACCTATCACATTTTGTTTTATCAAACGGACATTTAACGGAAAACATTTTCGCACAGTATAGCTTGCAAGTTATCGGAGTCGCTAGTCTTTCACAAGAAAGGGCGATTTCCCAGAGAGCCAAAACATTGCGAAACGATGCGGCTATCTTGAAAAAAAAAAAAAAGGAAAAATCGAGTTTCGGTCAATTTTTAAGAGGATAACAATGTTGACGCGATCTCCTGTAGGGCAGCTTTGAAATGTACCGTTCAAAGTGCCCGAGCTGATATAAGCTACCCTTTCGTGTGACAGATTTTAATCAGAGAATATAATTCGGTCAGGTGAAGCTCGAACCTTATAAAAATTTCAGTAAAACAGCTTCCGTCCTGAGAAAGGAAATAACTGATTCATGAACTTGTTCGTCACCTTCGCTTTCGAGTTTTTGATGAACTAGTTCCAGGACAAGTACCGGTGTTTACATGGTTGCCATCTTATTGATCCACACTCTCCCATACCATCGGGTTGTAAAAAATAGTACACAAACCTCAAATGGCATCTATTTTAGCCTTTTTAAGATGCATATTTAGTTTAATAAGCGACAACGTTCACTTTTCTTTCTTTTTTTGTTTTTTGTTTATTGTACGATGCATTACAGTTGCACGCCGTGAGGCTTGTTTATTGGGAGGACGAGTCGTCTGCTTCTTCCACAGGGGTTGCAGTGACGTCAGAACGACACCGAGTTCTGATTAGCTTTTATTGGAACGATAGTGGGTAGACCTCAATGCTGGATGCCTTGAGGTCTACCCCCTATTTGTTTTTCAACCAGCCAATAAGAACTCGGCATTCTGACATCATTGCAACCCCTATGCAAGAAGCAGATGAATTTGCGTTCTGCATAAAGCACTCCACAAGACACAAACGAATCTGCAAACACAAACAAAATAATACGAAAAAAAAAAAATATCTATAGTCCTGCGCAACATGGGAGATCTATAGTTGAAGGTATGCCTCCAGCGCGAGCTTTCTGCCTTCAATGGCACTTCGGCGTCTGATGACCCCGCGCTGTCAGAGCACGACGGAAGGCTGCTCTGGAGACGGAGCTTCTTCCACAAACCTTGCGTTGCAACAGACTATACAAAAACTTGTCGTCGTTACGAATTGTGTTACAAGATGAGCCGCCATTTTGTCGACATGGGGGGTCCGAAAGTTCAAACTCTAATGTTCCGGAATGCTGCCAATCTGGCGGTTTAAAAAAAAAAAAAAATGTCACCTGTCAAGCACTACCTTTCCGCTCTTCCACCGCACTCGTGATTTCTCAGAGCCATAAATATTTGTTCCATGCCGTTAGCTCGTGCTGTATATAACGCGCTGCTTGCAGTGTAGAGACCTCGGAGAAGTGATTTAGGTCTCTGATGGGTCAAGATATTTCTTTTCTCTTTTAAGGGGTTGCGTTGCGTAGGTTATTTCCTCGCCGGTTCAGGCTTCCTGCAGCTGTGCTATAGTTTGACAATAGGCAGGAGCAACTTGGCGTCGGGAGATGTCCGTGTTTTGCCGCTGTTTGCAGCCATTTCGGGGAGGAAAAGAGGCACGCCTGGCCAGGCACACGCTATCTCTGGTCGCTCACATCCTCTAATGCGTGCAGAGGCGGACATCCAGCAGGAAAAAAATACTTTGCGGAATTTTCTGGGTTCTTTCTTTTAGTTATATTTTGTCATCGAGTACTCGGGTTTTTACGGCCTGTGTTATAAATGTAAAGGTTGCAGTTGGGTTGGGGGGTAATCCTCTCGGCACGCAGATAATCGGCTTCGGTGTCAGCTTTTTTTTTTATGTGGATTAATTCGAAACTTTGTGAAGGCTATTCGAAAGGAATCCCCGCTTGTGGGTTTTTATATTTTAATTTAAATATATATATATATATATATAGGGACAGCAATAAAAAAAAGAGGGAAGTTTTTTTTTGCCTTTTGTCAATGTTTTTAAAAAAAATAGTTTAAGGCACTGCGTTTTCTTTTGGGGGGGGGGGGGGGGGGGGGGGGTTAGCCGAATCTATCCATTTATTCAATGTTAACAAAAACAAAAAAAAAAACAAAAAAAAAACGCGTTTTACGCGAGGGAATTAACAAATCACAGTATCGTTAGATATGGCAGGATATCTGTATATATATATATATATATCTTTTTTTTTTCTGGACGGCATGCCTCGTGCAGCATGAATTGCCGGAAACACAAAAGCTGTTATTGCTGGAATAATTGCGTAATACTTTTTTAGCGACATGTTACGAAAATAGATGACTGTTTGGTCTGCTATAGAGTAGGACTAGCGTAGCAACAGATGAGCGCCTTTTTATTTACTCGAATTACCTCGCCTTTATTAGCGCGCGCTCTTGTACACCGATGATTTTTGGGCCACGTTAGCTTGCGATTGTTCTTGTTTTGGGTCACGTTCGCATAGCCTGGACTTTCTTGACACGTGACTGAGAATAGTGCGTCGATGCAACTTTACTGACCAAATTTTGTTTGTGTTTACTTCGGGACGCCCTGCTGTGGACCAGATAGTTAATAATAATAATAATAATAGTAATAATAATAATAATTCCTTTATTTTTTCAACAAAACGTTGAAAGTTGACCAGGGAAAAAAGTTGAAAAAACAGCTCGACTGGCCCCTTAGCCACCCCAAACAAGTGGTCGCAAAGCACGCACCAAAGGATTTATACAATGAAATGTTACAAATTCATGACATGAATGAAAATCATCGCACAAAAGAAACAGCGTTTTACAAAGCCATAACACGTTGAATCAACACACACAGACACACACCTAAGGCATGCAGTGCATTCTAACTGAGCTCAACACAATCAGCGCTCATTGTTGATAGTAAGGTTTGAAATAAAATATTTCCATAGAATGCTCACCGATATACTGCTGATATCTATATCTTGCCTAGTCAGCTGATTAAGCCTAGTTGGTAAAGTATATACGTTGATTGCCGTGATTAGTTCTTGAAAAGTGTTTTTCTCGGGGCTTTAGTTCAATTTGAATATGTATATGTTTTTTTTTTTTTTTTTTTAGGTTCGTTAGGTTTTCGAACTGACGCTCGGGTAGATTTTTTTTTTTTTTTAATATAAAATATTTTGCGCGGAAACGATATTTGTATAAATCAATAATTTATGACACCAAGTTGACCGAAAAGATCACTAATTGAATATGCAATGTCAACATTACATATATTTCTAAGTATGTGTTTTTACAACATAAATATTTGCTCGAGGTTGGTATATGTAGCGCTTCCCCATATGAGATAACCATGATTCAACTATGAATAGAATAATGATTTATATAAATTTAACTTTGTTTTGAGTGGTAAGATGTGTTATGACGATATACAATACCGACTATACTAGATAATTTATATATATTATAATTATTATGGTCATCCCATGATATGTTTTCTTGAAAAACGGCAAGGTTTTAAACTTGGAAATATTTCAATTAAGAAGAATTAAAAAAATGACCTTGGTAATATGGACACGCCTATTTTTTTTGGTCGGAACAGAACTGCCTTCGTTTTATTCGCGTTTATTCTTAAAGAATTATCTTCACTAAAAATATGAAGCTTTTTCAGTGTTTCATTCGCATCATCTATAAGATCCGAGGCGTTATCACCGTTAAAAAATAGGCTTGAGTCATCAGCATAAATAGCAAAGTATATTGATGGCGTTTATTTAATATGTCATTCGTATAAATGTTGAGCAAAAAAGGCCCGAGAATACTTTTTTGAGGAACGCCTGATTCAACCGGTTCGATTTCAAATAAATGTTTATTTATATTAACATACTGTTTACGGGAGGATAAATTTGATTGTAAAAGTTGGTAGTTGGCCCACGAAATTTATA